AATTACGCCGCGTAAGGAGAAATGTCTTTTGTTAACTATTTTCTTCCTACCACGAACAACACCGCTGGATCTTTCGAAATCAGGAATGTGATACTTCTTATCTGGATATGACTTCAGATACCCCATCTGTAAAGGATATCCTGCATTGACCAAGTAATATTTACCTGCCCAAATACCGTAATTAGTAATAAACTTAAAAAATCGAACGTGGATATGTTTATGAATTTGGAGGTGAGTGAAGGAAGTCGTGTCTTCGGTTTTGTCGCCAAAACAAAAATACGACTATCGTGTGCACTGTCTTACCAACCAGCCATCACAAATGTAAAACACATATTGAAGTCACATACGACCGTCACATTTTGTGTGGGCGATCCACACCGTCCAATATATGCGACCTTCTTAGTACTGAACACTCGTACATCCACGTAGGTTCCGTCAATTGCTTCAATACAGTTCTGTCAGATTAGTTAAAGATGTGATTGCCATGCAACTCATTTTGACGTCTAAATGTCATTTGTTAAAAATAATTATCTTAAAGAATGACATATACTTTGGGTCATTTGTTTTGTTGGAGTCGTCTCAAATGTTGTGTTTTCTGGCTTAACTATTTTTATCGACAAATTGACAAGAGCTTTCAAACTCACTGAGAAATATTATCTAATTGTCTCTGATGAATGCTGAAATCGCTCCTCTTATTGATTCATTCTATGATAAAATATAGAAGATTATTGTTAGCACCTCTCTTGTTGTCATTTTTGAGGAGCCGTGGAGTCCATGATAGCTATGCAGTTCATCGATTAGATCCAAAAATATGAGTTTTGTCATACTGAACATGTTCATGAACCGTGTTGGGGTGTCATTGTAGTAGTTCACCGACCCATTTATCACTAATATAAGTTGATGTCATACAGGAAGTTCGATCGACGTAGGAGTTGTAGTATTCATACAACAAAACCATAGTCGCCGCAATTTTTCTTTTAAGGCTTAGTCGCTGTGAATCCATTCTATAAAAGTATTCTGTTTAGGCAATAAGTGTGAATCAGACAATGTTAAAAAAAACATATAAAAACTGAAAACGGATTATAATGAGCAGAAATAATTACAGAGCAACATATTAATTGTTTGTGCTAAAAAGGAAAGCATCCAAATCAAATAACTTGTGAAACAAACGGGGGAAAAAACCAATGCAAATACACAATAGCTCCATAAAATCAATTGTCAATAAAAAAACGTAAATAGTCGATCCGAAGTTGGGGGGGCATCTTCATGAATATATTTTTGCGAGTCGGGTCCTCAAGCAACTTCAAGGAGTTCATATAGAATGACTTCTCCGACCTAACTTCAGAATATGTATCCAAAACTCGAAGAAAGTCGTCTATGAAGGTGTCTTGTGAAGTACTAGCCGGAATTGTGCAGGCTTCTACCAATTTTGTTATTGTGAAAGTAGCTCCCTTTTTCCTTTTCTCCACCCTAGGTCGCTTTGACCGGCATGTGGACTCCAACTTCTTCTGATTTTGGCTGGGGCCTTCACTTGACCCACTTAACTGCTTGCAAACTCATGCTCACTTGAGGCGAACGCATGAGTGCTCGTTGCAACAACCCCACTGAACATACTGTCCAACTTCTTCTCGAGAACTGGGTCAATGTCACTGAATTTAAATTTCCTGGTGGCTAGCACTGCCTGCAACATATGACAACTTTATTAGTTAAAGTAGCTTTGGAGGATAAAGAATGGAAGAAGTAATCATTGGATAGGTTATTACCTCTAATTTCTCAGTCTATCTGTCCTCCAAAGCGTGTATTGTCCGTTTCACTGGATCCCAGCCCAAGCCCGTAGATGCCCTTTTTAGTTCCTTCCATAATTTCCAATTCTTCTTTAGCTGATCTCATTTCTTTTTTAAGTTTCAACCTATTGTAATCCCTTCCTGTCATTTCCTTAAACTTATTTATAAGATTTTGCCATTATTTTTTGATAGGTAGTAGGTTTATTGTCCAGCTCGTCCTCCTTAAGACAGAGGTCGCAAAATATAATAGTGACTTCCCCTATCCTACATGGCCGATGATCCGACTTCTTTGGTCTTACTCATTGTGTTACTAACAAATAAAAGGCAAAAAATAAAACAAAATCTTTCTTTCAAGTCAAAAATTGTACGAACCAATGTAAGATATAAGATGTTGAAGGGGAGAGATTTCAGCAAACACATTATAACAAAGAGACAATAAAATCACAGTAAAAAAAGTAAAGGAAAGGAAATAAAAAGGAGAGCAGTAAATAAAAACAAGGACTACTTTTAACTGATCTTATTAATTTAAGAAAAAGTACCCTTCTAAAGTTCAAAGGCAATAATAAAATGAAAATTTGTTTATGAAAGAGTGACAATAAACACTATCCTAAAACTCCATCTTATGCACTTAAAACTCCATATTTATGTTTTTTTGATAGTCAAATAGTAAATAATTAGAAACCTTGTTGTTTAAAAGTAATTATAAGTATTTAGAAAAGATAAATGGTTGGATTTTCATTGTACATTAAGGAAAAAATTACTAACAATATCAAAAGCTGACAATTAAGATTAATAAAGTAAGATGATAGTGTAAAATTTGCAGTTAAACCCTCATTTGGCTTCTTGTTGATGAAAAACATCTGTTAGTTCCTCTAAATGATATGTAGATATAAAAAATTCAGCAGAAAATATATATAGTTAAGAGTGACAGTCAATCCTGAATTCCAAATGCCAAAATCATGACAAAATTAGTGACAAAAATGTTCCTCCGATGAGAATAGATAGATATTCATGCCAAAGTAACCACAAAACTGGTTCTGATGCCCCTTGCAGACAGTGGCAGAGGATAGCTTAGGTGATCACAAAAAGTAACAAGAAGTAGATCATATGAACCTTCACATTAGACGTTCAATAAGGTATCATCAAGAATTTAATTTCCCATGTATTTGAAAGAATCAAATATAGATAAGACAACTTTTAAAAAATAAAATTTTTTCGAAAGTATACCGAATTCCTCAAATATAATCACCTCAATGATGTGGAGCAAAAATAATATCAAATTATGGTAGCCATGTTGAGAGAGTTTTAAGATGTAGTACATGATAGGTGCTTCCAAAAGAAGCGGCCATGCCAACAAACAGTATTCAAGGCTTTGAAAATATCTAAATCAAATGCAACATGAAAGACAACCACCAACCAACCACAAGAAATGAAAACATCCAATATCTTTCGAAACCAGCTGCAACATAGCCACCAACCAGCCCCCGACAAAAGAATACGCTTCCAAATATCATTAGCAAAAGTACAAGAAATGAAAATATGCTCCGGACTTTTCTCATACTGTCTGTAAAGTAAACAACATGAAAACATTTTTAACCCGTTTAGTTTCAAAATATCATCTACAGGAAGAATTTGGTGCAACATTCTCCAACAAAAGAAAAGATTGAGATGGCTTTAGCCAAGGGTTCTAAACCCAGTTTAAATACAGACCCCAACATGAAAGCATTTTTTAGTTTCAAAATTTCATCTTTAGGAAGAATTTGGTGCAACATTCTCCAATAATAGAAAAATTGAGATGGCTTTAGTCGAGGGTTCCAAACCCAATTTAAATACAAACCCCAATCATATTGTAAAGAATTAGCAAAACATTTAGAGATAGAGTCACCCGACCTACCTTTAACCCTTACCACATGCTGAACACCTTTAGAAATTGGAACATTAGCAATAATGTAAGCATTCTCATTACTCACAATATCAACCAATTATCCAACATTCCAAACAGAATCACTTTAAAATAGATATCAAAAGGACCACCATATTGATTAGCCAGAGCACCCAAACACAACAGCTCACCATCTCTAATATCCCAACAAAGAAACTCCTCAATCTCTTTAGAAACTTTAATCAACTCCTTCCAAACATTAGTGACAAAAATTTTAGCAGAAACAGTAAGAGGATTAGCATTAAAGCAATATTTTTTTCTTGTAAGTTGAGCCCAAAGAGAATCACCATCTCTGAAATGATAGCAATAATTTCATTCAAATGATTTTTTATTGGCTTCTCATAGATTTTGATTAAAGGCCAAGCCACCCGAACAAGCAGTTTTACAAGGCTTGGACCACCTGGACCAGTAGATGTTATGATCCTTAACAGAAAATATGAACTTGTTAAAGGCAATTCATCAAAAAACTTTCATCCCTTCTCCAAATTATCAACAAATTGAAATAACGCATGAGGAAAGCCATTAGAAAGCCGAAAAGATACCATTCCTTCAAAAATACATCCGTGATTCTCCAGGGATACCGTCACAGTGGCAATCCATCAAAAAACTTTCACCCATTTTCTAACTTATCAAAAAATCCAAAAACACCTGAGGAAAGCCCTTTCATTAGAAAACAACAAAGGGATTATTATTCCCTCGAAAAATCGTCACAGATTGAATATAGAGAAAGGCATTTGATTGAAATAACTTACAACGCACAGTAACTGAGGTCGGAATGAGGAGGAGAAGGTGAAAGGCGAGAGAGGAGTGCTCGAGTGAGAGAGGAGAGCAAGCTATCACATAGGATAGAACAGGGGTCGTGCGAGGAACGAAGGGTAAGCAGGTAAGCGTCGAGGTAAGAATGCTGGCCGCGGGATTGATCCCGCGACCGTGTTAAATAACTAACCGGTATAGCATTGTAGGATACGCATATGGAACACAATAACAAAACGCGTGAGAAGTGTTTTCAAAACGCAAGCACATCAATTAAGCTGCCCCAAACGCTCCCCAAGTCTCTTAACTTTCTGACATGGAAGGAACATACATATCTTCATTTAGCCGTGTATTTATTTATTTTGCTCAATTTGGCCAATCTTTTTGATTTGAATGGAAATATAAGGATGATAAATGGCATTTTGTGTTGATGTTTAGCAAAAATGCATAGAAAATTATCATTAATTTTTCCATATTATCTTTTTTAGCTAAAGGTTGACAACATTGGCTTATCTGTGTAGGTAATACAAATGAACATTCAAGAGAATGCACGCAAGCGGATTGCCCAGGAGTTGAAGATTAACTTGTCATCACAGAATCCATATATTGTGGTGTGTTACCAGTCTTTTTATGACAATGGTGCCATATCAATAGTCTTGGAATACATGGATGGTGGTTCTCTCTCAGATTTTCTAAGGAAAGTTGGATCAATTCCTGAGCCACATTTGGCTGCAATTTGTAGTCAGGCTAGTATTTAATCGATAAGTGTCCTAGTCACTCTGTAGCAGCATTCAGCTATTGTACTCAATTTTCAGCTATTTGCTCACCCTCCATCTATGCAGGTACTTCGAGGATTAATATTTCTCCATCATGAAAAGCATATTATTCACAGGGACTTGAAGCCATCAAACATACTCATCAATCATAGAGGGGAAGTAAAGATATCTGACTTTGGTGTGAGTGCTATCCTTGCAAGCTCCTCAGGCCAAGGAGATACGTTTACTGGGACTTACAACTATATGTCTGTGAGTTCAATCTTGGAGCTGTTCGATAAACAAATTGATTTTTACTTGCTTTATTAACAAGATCATGTCCGGACACTATCATTCTTCTATTGTGTTGTTTATCAATTATAAACCTTCGGATTAATATATATTCCCTTTGTTAGCCAGAAAGAATCAGTGGGAACAAGCATGGCTATCTAAGCGACATTTGGAGCTTGGGTTTAGTTATGCTTGAGTGTGCAACAGGCCAATTTCCCTATCCACCAGTTGACAGTTTCTTTGAGATTCTTGATGCTGTAGTCGATCAGCCAGCTCCTTTTGCCTCCCAAGACCAATTTTCTCCGGAGTTTTGCTCATTTATTTCCTCATGGTCAGTATGTGTTTCCAAATTGCTCTACTTCTTTTTGTTTCTATTCTTTTAAATTTATTTTTTGAATAAGGGTGTTATCTTCATCTATTTGTGTGGTTTTAGCGGATTTCTCATGCATATTAATTTTTTTTAATTTTCCACCATATTGAGGCTGTGACAGCATTTTAAAGCTAATTTAGAGTTGCATATGCATTTGTTATTTGAAAATGTTAATGTATTTTCAGCTAAATTGGATAGTTTTCAATGGTTTGATGATAGGCATTAACAGCATAAGGAGAAAAAATTTTACAATGTCACAGTATTTTTCAAGCAGCTACTAAGTATTGTCCTTCTTTTGGTTATTTTTATGTCAAATTATAGTTTTAACCTTGGTTCTATATTGCGGGGCATTTTCAGTAATCTTTTCAGTCACGATAAACTGTGAGTGGCATGGTCCCTTATAGAATTTTAGCTTGCGAGTTATTCAATTATTATTATTGATTGGCACATAATTTTCAAGTATTGGATAACAAGCAAATCTCTGAAAGTAAAATTGAGCATGGTAGAAATGAAAATATTAACATGAATGTCCTGTAAAAAAAAATAAATATTTGATAAAGCTGAAAAGGGTATATTTGAGGAATGATTATATTAATGTTTGGAATATCATATATTAAAGATGACAGTCAAAATTATAGACTTAGATGAGTTGAAATATATTCATACAAAACTAGCATAGAGGGATTTGGAAGAAAGAGGGATGAACCTAAGTTAATATTAATAGATTTTTTCTAAATGATTTTAATGATTAATTGTAACACATCTTTCAACACTCTGCATTAACAAATAATTTTTAGCTCACAAACTTCCCCACTAGTTATGCAGAGCACTTAAGGAGTGCTGAGGGCTCTCTATTAGCAGTGTTTCCTAAGCTTTCAGAAGACTTGTGGAGTGCAGGAGGTAGAGAATTGGCCGCGACAAGTATGAAAACTGGGTGGCTGAAGTGGCTCGTAAGGTTGCTTCGGACTACAATACTGACAAAAAATAAATTGTATTCTAAAGACCGATTGCAGCTCTAAAATATATGTTCCCAATCACTTTACATTGGTTGCGGGGCCACCAGAAGTAGATATTTTTTTTTTTTTGGAGCTTGATATGGATTTTGAGAGTAGAGGAAGAGTTGATTCCACCAGCTAATGGGGAGAGTAATTGGCCCACTAGGATTGCTTGTAAGGTTGCTCGGGCGAAAAATGCGAGTATGGATTTGGGCCTTATATTAGCTCTCCAGCCTATTAATCCCCACACCTTCGCATTATTATTTGTGAATTGTAAGTATGAAATAAATCATGCTTTATGACCGCCATGCTAAGAATCTACTTGGCATTGTTGTGCTATGCTACATTTTGCTAGGATGTTTTGTGTTGTGTTCTTTATTAATCTCGCTCACTGTTAGGTATGATTATTATTGTAAATCTTGTAAGTTATAGCCATTTGGTAAAAAATGGTTGAATGTTAAAGTAATTGAAGAATTGAAATAAATAGTATTATGAATTTCATATTATTATTGTTGCATGCTTAAATCACTCACACTTTGAGAGTGCCAAAGAAAGTATTGGACCAACCAGATAGAAATGAAAGTGTCAGCACACACAAGTACTAACTAGAATAGTAAATAAAACTACAAAGAGATATGAGCACCAATGAATTTACCTGGCCTAACCCAAAAGTACACTTCAATAAACTGAGTTGCTTTTAGAACTTTCTTATTGTGTCAAATATGTTTTCTTAAAATCAATTATATATTGTTTTGGTGATTTGCTTTTAATTAAAACATATCATTATAAACTTCAACATTCTTTCCTTTATTTTAAGAGAAAAAATTACATCCATCATTCTTTGTTATGTCGTACCATCTGTTTTCAACCAAAACGGTTTTATATTGTAACAATAGAGATCATTCTTTGTAATAAAGTTTTCTCACAATTTGTCAAATGCAAATTGATTTAATGATAGCCAAAGAATATATAAGAAAGCTCATGCCAATATAGTTAATTATAGAGTCAACTAAAGCATTGATTCTCAACAAGGGATAACCATCTTTTTGATAGGTTGAATTTGAGATTTGTGAAGTCTATACACATTCGACTTTGGTTGTTTGATTTCTATACCATTAAAGTATTGATAATGCATTATGTGTATTTTCTTCTTCGAAATAACCCACTTCAAGAAGCTTCTAAACCTCTTGGCAAATAGACTCGACAAGTGTTGTCGTTACTGGCTTTATCTTCTGCTAACTAGTCTGGCACTGTGATTTGCATTGAGTTTGTGATAATTGTTGTCAACACTCACCTGACATTTCCTCCGCTGATTAGGCAACTGTATCTTTGTAGTCAATGAGAGTTAAAATCAATTCCCAATATAACTCAGCATCAAAGTTGTACTTAGCTAAGAAGTTCTACTAGAATCTCCCTCTTCAGCAACAACTTCTAATACTTCTATATTTTCCAGCCGTGCGCATTTTTTGAGCATCAAGCTATAGCATTTTTTTTTATACACTACCTACAACTTTTAAGTAATAAGCTCTCGACTATGGTAAATCTCTTCTCCCAGTTCTTATCTATCATTGTAGGAATTTAGTTGTGATATGATATGTAGATAAAACTACTTGAAAAGTATTTTATAATGGTCAACCGAAGATGATATTATAAATAGCCGACACATCTACTACAATGAAGTCGAGCATGTAAGGGCTCCAAAAATTCAAAACAGTACATCAGACTCTCTTCAAAAGTTTAACATGGTGTTTCTTAAGTTTCCGAGTCAAATTTTCAGTAGACAGATGAGATAGTTTAGATAAGATACTACTCAGAGATTTCACTCTCATTTTGCAAGTTCTTTAATACTTAGGGTTCGAGGTTTCCCATAAGCACAAGCTACTATGATTAATTACCTCTCTCGATAGCGGGAGAACACTTTCGATTAAGGCTAGTCATTAGGCGTTAAATACTCAAAATTAGCATATAGTAGTAGCAAATTTAAGAATTTAAATCATAAGACTCATTATCGTCGTGAGCTTAAAGCTGATGGTGGGGGAAACAACGATGAACCTAATTAAGATCCCATGATTTCATCATTTCGAGTTGTTATGGACCCTGGTCTGCTCCCGACTAAGATCCCATAGTTTCATCATCCCGGATTGTCATGGACCCTGGTCTGCATAGTTAGTGGAGGTAGTCGACCGAACCTAATAAAAGGATCATTGCAGCAGCTATGGGTTGCTTCGTCCAAAGGGATCTTGTAGACCTGAGGTGAATGTTTATCTAAGGAGACTAATCTAAGTCGATTTTTGCTTACAGAGGACTTTCTACCCTATCAAATATACTCTATGATTCAATACTCAAAGTGTAGATTGTCATTGGGGAACATACAGGCTACAACCGTGACCGTAATATAATTGTGTTATTTAGTGACAAACCACCTTCTCAGAGGGCTTTGGTCGTAATCGCTTCTTTGTGGTGCCATTTGGCGACAAGAACCACACGTACAAAGGACTCGAGCCACGTACTTTTTGTCATAGAATTCATTTTGAGCATGAATTTAGTAGTATATTTGATAATATGACATTGGCTCTTTGTGAGCTCGAGTCAGCATTAAATTTGCCCACCTCAACAAACAATTATAGAGGTTGGATGGATCTTTGCTTTAAGCATTAAGTGACATAATTTTTCATTTATCATTTTTTATGATTTAAATTATTTTAATTTTATAAATAAACCCCTTCGGTTGAAATTTACGATCAACACGTCCATCATCGGGGTTGATTCATAACTTATATCACTGAAAACACTCATATTGTCAACTCCAGTTCTCGTAAGGAGGAAGATTAGACTGACTCAGTTGAGGCTTAATCTTGTGGACTCCATTCCCGGTGGAAGGAAGATCGGATTGGCCAAAGCGTGAGAATTGCCCTATAGGCGAGGCGACCCGTTTCCCTTACAGGATTCTTAGACGCATAAGCTTGAATATTTAGAGGCACGTCGGAGTACATGCAGCTGTTTTAATTTATTAATTTTGACTGACTTTTAGGCGGTTCTATTATTATTCGTACGAATATATCATATTTGAGATGGGTGCAAATATTTTCATTTGAGCTCTCATCATTGCCTTTTGTCTGCTCGTGCATTTGGGGTTTCAGATCTGGTGATAATTAAAACGAAAAAAGACTTCGATTTTATATTTAGAATTATGCATCTCTCTCTTGCTTAGCTCCCATTTGAATGTTCAAATGGACATCACATGTTTCATTCGAGATTGTTAATGAGTCGTCGTGTCCCATGTTAGTCTTATACAAGTTTTATTTATATTTAATTTTATCTTTAAAATGATTTATGTAATCTTTTCAGCCTTTAATATGTAGTTTAGAAGCTTTCATTCAAAGTACATTTTGTGCCAGTGAATCCAATTCAATTGCTCTTTTATTACCAGCATTTTGACATAAATCCGACAACAATTTGACAGCCTCCCATCATCATCCTTGTTTAGGGGGCTGCATCGGGAAAGTAAGGTCTTCCTATCAGGCTTAAAAAAGCGTGCATAGTCAGTGTCTTTCGACACTGCAGCCTAGGAGTGTTTATAACACAGCACGCTTAAAAAAGCGTGCATGAGGCTTCGTGTACCTACAAAATAATAATAATAACACACACACAAGGAGCCATTCCCGTTGCATCGATAAGACACAGACAAGCTTTTAACCCACCATGCTTAAAAAATATACATGAGGCTTGAGGGACCTTCAAATCAAACACATAACATATCGAATTTACTCATGTTATACACCAATTCTCCAACGTATGCTTGGCTTCCACCATTTTCTGAGTCTCTCTTTCTTTAAATTTATACTTTGCTGCTTCTCTAATCCTCTTCTTGATCTCCTTGCTCAAATGGCCTTTCTATTCTTCCTCCTGGTTGATCTATCCTCAGCTGAAACATTCAGGACATCATTGACATCATGTGGAAGCAAA